TATAATTGATTAATAATAATAAGCCTTATATAATTGATTTCAATTTTTAATTGTGGTTATTTTACTTGAGTTTCCATGATTTCTGTACCTCAAAGGCAGTGGTTGCGTTAGGATTGTGGTCTTGCGGTTAGGAGCCAATCCAGGGTATTAGCCACTGCCCTACCAGCACTCACCATAAACCTCGTGGCTGGTCGTCCGGGATTTGTCCAGGATCACTATGCCCACGCCCTAGCGCAAAACCGGTTTTAAAGCCCTTGAAAGATCTATTGTAAGTGAAAGGAAGCAATTCTTTTTTTACTTACTATAGAACTCGCTCAAGCAATCTTGCGGAATCTACCCAGCTAAGAAAAGCTGCCCAGCGCTGTAAGAGGGGAAGTGCTCACTACAGCAGGAGTCGGCTTGTTCAATGCGCTATGAGATTTTGGACGTGTTGTGTCCGCCTCCCCTCGCCTATGTCTGCATCTCTCGCATCTTCATTTTCACTCACCCTCTCGTCGTCAGAGTCTCTTTTCAAGACTCTTATTCTTGTGAGCCGTGGACCGTGAGTACTATTGGGTGAGTTTGAAGAAGGGGCCTATTTAGGGCATTACTGTCTATTTTTCCTTCTCTCTTCATTGTTGGGTCACATGTCACCCCTGAGCAGGGTGAATAACGGTCGAGGAATTCCTCGACCATGGCTCTCTACTGTGCGAGAGTAGTGTCGAGAGTGAATGTACGCGCGGAGAGCACAGACGGCTCGCGGTGGCGAGAGTGAATGTCCGCGCGGGAGAGCGCGACTGAACAGGCGAAAATCCTCGACGAGCCGTTGCGTTTCCTCGACCGATTTTCACCCTGCCCTTAAGCACAAGAACCGACACTGCCGTGAATAAAATGTGCGGCAAGAGCGCTAAAGCTTTGCCTAGTGCGCTCCCAGCGCTGCCGCTCTATATCGCGGTATACGTGGTGTCTGCGCCCTCTCGCGTACGACGTGCTCTCTCGCGTTCTCCCTCTCCTCGCAGCGCTGTGTCTCTCCGTCATATCACAGCCTCACAAAATGAATTTGAGTGTTTTCTGTGGAGCTTTTTGCTTTTTCCTCCCACTAGCGTATCTCATCATACTTGTTGTCTAATTTCCGAACCAAATGACGCACCAATTCCATCCTGACCCGTGCCTTTAAGTGCAAGTGAGCGGTATTCCTCAAAGGTCTTTTGGGCATATTGTGGTTCGGGCTTTACAATTTAGTCATGAATAAGGGTGCAAGAATGATAATATCAATAATGTTAGTGTTTTTAGGTACATGCTAGCGTTCATAAATGTGTGTTCGGGTTTCCAATGTGATAGTGTTTTCAGGTACATGCTAGCGAAATGCATTTGGAACGATCCACTGTTTGATTCGTTACTCGAACAATACAAAGGATATCTGTAATGACTATGGAATAAAGGAGCTATCACGAAGAAATCACTGGCCATGGGACTGCCAATTATGATATTTGGTGAGTAATGACCGATTGGTGGAATATAAGAACGAGCAATGTACCTGCTTCGGTTCCAGCAGTAATTGCTGTAATGTCAAGAGCAGTTCCACCGACTTCTCGAACTGACAGGTGGTTCGCCTTTCTTCTCTGTCATGTTCTTTTTGGAACATATTGTGCAGCAATGCTTTCTTTCAACTGTTTTGTTTTGTTGGTTTGTTTTTGTGGAACCGACTGTCAGGGTCGCGTCTGCTTCTGATACGTATATTTTCGATAGCTGAATTGTTCGAAATCCCTTTTGGCTCTTTGAGCGACTGTTTTGGGCGAACGCTGAAGTTTTCCTAGCAAGTAGGTTAAGTAAGCTGTAGGGCTGTAGCAAGAAGATGCAGGTGATGGTGAACTTGACTTCACCTATGGCTGAGTCGAACTATAATCTTTTCTATTTACCCATTAAGGGGTGAGTGGCGCATATGCCGGCTTCTAATAGGCGGAGCATGCACTTAAGTGGGAGCACTTTGTTACAGAATTAGTCAATGAGTAAGTTTAGGAAACCTGTTCTGGAGACCAGAAAAATGAAAGCGGGTGGTGTCATTGTGTGACAACCGATAGAATACAGCTGCTACCGGCTGATCATTGGCAAAAAACATTTACATTCTGTGGAAGCCGTCGTCACTTGTGGTGTGTGGTCTGCACTCGATGCGTATCTGCTTTTCGAATGGAGAGGGTACACTAGTGACCAGTTTGGACGCGGTACCAGTGGTAGACGTGAAGGGTGGTTTTTTGCGCGACGTGAGTTTTGGAAAGAGTCACGCCTTCTAGGGCGGGTGTGCCGGAATGTTGTTTATATGGATGAATTGGAGTCCGATACGATGGTTGGAGGTGGCGTGTTGTTGATGTCATTGGGCGTATTGGTGGGCAATTGCGTGGGAGTTGACAACCACTCTCCGACGCGCTAAAAAAAGCTGCCATTCCAGTCGAGTTTTATGTCGCAGGAGGTTCTGGTGCATCGTTGCTGACGCAGAAGCTCCCACAATGCGCGGGTCAAGCTGGTGAGCGCAAAAATTAGGGTCATACTCGATTTGGAAGCTGATAGAAGTATAATAGCAAATTTCTACAATGCTCAACTACCGCTTCTTTGTTTTATTCTCAATGAAACGTAATGTTGTGATTACGTTATTCGATTGATTGATTCGCCATTGAAAAGGGCATGTCTAAATGTTCTGTGTTGTTATTGAATGTGTCGAATGGTGACGAGCAATTTCACTTCATAAAGAATTTTCTATGAAATATTTGTTGTAAAATTGTTTCGGTTTCGACCGTGGAAAGTACCGGTCTGTGTGTGTTGCATTGTCATAGGCTAGTTGGCGATAGGATCTAGACACGCGTCTGTCTTTTATCCGACGAGATCGCCTCACCATCGGTTGAATTGACTTTTCTTTTCCACGTTTTAGGTTCGTATTTTACTGATCGATAGGTAAACATTCAGGACGGCGACATTACGTGACTTTTTAGTCATCTTAAAAAAGGCAGGTATGTTCTTGATGTTTTTATACATTGACTTTTGGAAACTTTTTTACTCTTTCTAACCAGAGATTTTCTCTAACCAGAGTTGAGGAAGTCACCTTTCTCTTATTCCCTCCATTAATCCATCCCTCCATCCACGTTTTTACGCTATATTCGCCCAGTTCGCGGTCGGAATGCTCAACTCGTTATACGTGTGAGTGCTGATAAGCTATGGTACGTATACCATGAAAGCTGAGTTGAGTTGGATGAAATGGTGCCCCGGTAGCGTAACTGGTAGCGCACTTGCCCGGAAAGCGAGAGGTGCGGGTTCTAGTCCCGCCTGGGGCGAAAGTTTTGTTCACAACCCAGCATTCTTGTGAAACTACTGTATAAGGTATTCTTTCTTTTCCAATCCCTCTCCAAGGTTTTCACTATACACTAGAAATGATATTGTTCAGGTTGAATGAACTTTCGTTTCACCATAACACCATCGTGTCAGTTCAAGGCACGAGTAGTCGCCATCTGTCTCTGTTGGTATGTCATCAGTTCTGCTAGCAGCATCACGAATAAAGTTTTACTCCAGGTATGCCGGTTATTTTGAATTCGAAGATTTATGGTATGTTCAATTTTTTTGCTACTGTAGACAGTTTGGATTATTTTAGAGCTACCCGTATCCGACGACGTTAGCGTTATCGAATCTTATGTGGGTGCCGATATACTCTATACCTTTGTTACGTATGTGGGAATGTAAAGTAGTAAAATTAACGCCTGTACAGTATAACAAGTATCTTACTCCGATATCAGCCGGTGAGTTTTTGTCTCTTTTCATCTTATTTTCATTCGCTTTCCGTGCATAATTCCGTGGTGCGACGTGTTATGATTACAAGATTAGTAACTCGTAGACCTAACGATGTAGCTTCAAGAGCATCTGAAATCCCAAGCTATCGATTTTTTTGAATTAGTTGTCTCTTGTGCTATGAATTGTGCGAGACGTACCGGCTAGGCCAGGGGTAACACCTAGGTGCAGCTGCTAGCAAGTGAGCTAGAGTACGCGTGGAAACACCGTCGAAGGATTTTCTAACCGCGACTAATTCCACGGAACATACAGGAGCTTTTTAGTATTGTTTGTTTGTTTGTTTGTTTGTTTGTTTCAACACGAGTCCCTGTTTTGTCTGAGAAATGGTGAAATTGATAGCGGAATTGTGATACTGAAAACAAGATTTTTTTTAGGTAAGGCTCTAGCTGTTGTAAGTGCGTACTTTAGTTTGTGGAAGGTCCCTGTGTCTTACGCTCACACTGGTTGGTTGTATTCATTGTGTTCTAGTTTATTCTTTGTTTTGGTTTTCTGTTGTTTCTTATATTTTTTGAAATTTTTAAGCTGTTCAGTCATCTCTTTCTAATTTCCACACGCCCACTTTCCACTTGACCTCCCTTTAATGTTGAGGATCGCTATATATTCCACCTATTTTTCATGAGGGGTAGTTTGAATCCCTGTAAGAATGTATGTTTCACTGTTTTGGCAAAATTACCTGTCGTGCGGCACAGGCTCTCGGGCAAGTTAAACCGCCAGACTCCCTAGGAGCGTGTTACCCTGAATGGCTGGTAAGCTGAAATCGAATAATGCAGTAGTTTCACTGAAAAATAAGCGCCACCAGGGACCTCTCAACTTCGTAGACTTGTGACAGAAGGGTTTCTGGTTGGATGTGGAGTAATGGGACAGTAAGTTCACTAAAAACAAGATTTCTAGTTTGCTACAGTCGAGACGGGCCTCGCGAAGGAGTCAGCAACATTGTCGCTCGCTGAACCTCCCCCGTTTTAGTTAAACTTTTCAAAAATGTTTCTTAGATCACAGTTTTCCAGTGTTCAATGTTGTTTGACTTTTTCAATTTCCCTTTGTTTATTTCTCTTTTACGCTTGAAAGCATCAATCGGCCTTTATTTTGCTGTTCTCTTAGTAGAGTCTTGGTTGTTGAAGGAAAGACAGAGTTATCGGGTAAGTTTCAGTCTGCGAAGAATTTCTCACAACTGTATTGTAGATCATTTGATGTTTTGAAGGTCTATTTGTCACTGTTACCAATTGTTGCTGGAGTGGTGGTAGCGTCAGCCACCGAGCTGTCATTTTCTTTTTGGCATGCTTTCTGGCACTTTTATCTACTTTCACCTATTCACTTCTGAATATATTAGTGAAGAAAGTAAGTAATTTACACAGCAAATCGGGAGCTCCACGTTAAGCGATTTTCAAATTTTCAAGCTCTTGAAAGAGTCCGATATCCATCCGATTCGTTTACTTTGGCTATGAACAGCCACGTTCGGCCAGCTTAATCATGGTGTTCCCGTTTGCGATTGATACAAATGACGCACGTTCACTTGGACCAAGTCTAATGGGGATCGAGTGTGAGTTCGAAAGGAATTGCTTTAGTTTATTATTGTTACACATTAATGTACTTTTCTTATTAATCAAAACATGCAGATAGCGAATTTCTTTACCAAAACCGTGACTGATGTTATTTCACTTTATATCTTATTTTAAAGGATAGTCCGAACACTTTATGCTTTGTTAATGATCACATGTATCTTTGATCGTTTTTGTGATTACTTACGTTAACTTACCTTCCTTTTCGGACGGGTTAAGAACTACACCACAAGATGACGACGGGCGTCCAAGTAAATGCTGGTTAGTTGGAGTTGATAGTGGTTAGCTAAATTCCTCGGATATGATTAGCAGTGGCTCTATAACTGATAGAATACAACTGCAAGCATGGGGCTAAATCATTTTTATTGTCAGGAAAGCTTTTACATTATTTATTTGGAAGGGCGTACGTCACTTGTGTTTGTGTAAGTCTGCACCCACGCTGTTCGTTTTTTGAAAGTAGTATACTATCGTCAACTACTCTTCAACACAATCATGCGTCAATAGTTTCACGAACAATTTACACCCATTTTGGAGATTCCTCCCCTTCCAAATCCTTTCAAAGAATTGAATATAGTTCAAGTTGTGAACTGATAGCGCAAAAATATAGCCCCCCCCCCTCTTGTCTGGAATATAACCAAACAATATTATTGAAGATTCTTGTTAGACTCTCGATATTTGGTGGGGTATAAAATTGAACACAAGATTAGAACGCTTGACGCAGACATCAAAAGCAGAAGAATGAAAACAACTATTCAAAACCCACAGTATTTACAAGCAAAAATATGTATCAATCGAAGAACAAAAATCCCGATATGCACGTGCTAATTATAATAAAGAAAGGCAAACCTAGAATAGAGAGAAGAGTCGCACTACATTATTTTATAGGTTTTCTTATCCGCAAGTTTGAATTTTGTATCCTGCAGCGAATGTGCAGTGCGCTTCTTTCTACCACTTCTGTATGAAATGCTTTTGTCGTTTCCGTTCCGGGGGCGTTCTGTCGTTTCAGCCGTCTGTTGATCGATTTCATGGATTTATTGCCCTTTTACACTGTATCCGATCATTTTCGCTGTGTCAGATGCCTCTGGCTTCACTCTTTCCGCTCATTTCTCTGACGTCCTGCTGCAATCACGTATTTCATCGAATTTGACTGGCAAACTAATTTTCCGTGACATACAGTCGATATCTCGAAGTCTGATTGGGCGTGTCACCGGAAATGACGTGGCAGCCACCGCACTTGATAGATGTTGTGTGGATAAAATACTCCGCCAGATATCAGCAAAGCGTGTTGGAAGCAGCTTATCCGCGCAACTTCTATCAAGTGCGGTGGCTGCCACGTCATTTCCGGTGACACGCCCAATCAGACTTCGAGATATGTCAAATTATTTTGTCAGACATGTTAAGACCTGTTGAACGCGTCAGTTCGTGAGCGGTCCACTCCTTGTATGCGAAAGTCAGTGTTACACCCGAATTAATCAAATTTTGATGTTTTATTAGTTTGCTTTAAGTTTACCTATTCTTCTCATTCTTCATTTACTATTTGTTATTTACTACGTATGATATTTATGTGTGAATGGTTAAGGATACCGTATACCCGTCACCAGATCTATGGCTTCTGTGCCTTCTAGCCATGGCGGGCGTTTTGTCGTTTCTGCAAAGTGTATGCGCTTTTTCATTAATCCATCAACTGACGGCACTATCATATGCAGTTTGTAACGCCACGAAACGGATTACTGTAATTGGATCGTCTCTGTTCACTCTGCACAACCCCGTGACAGGTACGAGCGATGGTTAATGTTATTTCTAGTGAAAGCTACTCAAAAAAAGGTTGTGACCGCCTCACCGTCCTCACGGTATGGCTCTGTGGCACATACCTAATCATTGTGAGGCTATATTGAAATGCCATTCGAGACCAACTTCATTCATGACGTTATGTTGTGGATGATAACGTG